ATATTTATTCTTAAAGATAGTTGTTGAAAAGATATATTGCAGAGTTTTGGATGCAGCATATAGCGGCAAACTAAAGAACATAGTTGAAATAAAAAAAAAAAAACACACAAAGCATGCCATAATTTGCATTTGCAATATCCCCTAAAAAGCAAGGCATTTAAGGGTTAATCCCCATCCTTCCCACTCCCATTGTGTGCTGTAGGATGTTTAAGAACAGTAAAAAGGGATATTTTCAAGACAGAATCAGGCCTCTGTTTTCTTTTCTTTGCTTCATAGTGATAATGTGAATGTTTTGTTCCTCAGGGAATTCTGGATGATGGTATGTTTCCTTCTGAAAGTCAAAAAGAAACAAGTCAATTATATGTCAAAACACGCCAAATTCTGAGCAAAGTAAACATTTTACCTCACCTATTTGCTGTATCAAATATTTGTAACAGAAACAGAAAAGCTCCCAGAGTGAAACATGCTTATTTTGCTATAGATTTTGTAGTTGTTGCTTTCTTATTTCAGGCTGCCATAACAACATGCTATACATTGGTTTGTTGGCATTATTATTCATTTCTTAAAGTTCTGGGAGCTGGAAGTCTGAGATGAGAATAAGAGCATAATATGATGTCTGAAGGCGCCTTTTGATGGCTGTATATTGCCACCCCTTTTTAGTCTTCATTTTGCATAGGAGAGAGATAAGAAAGCAGTCTTGGGAGCTCTCATAAGAACACTAATTGCACTAATGAAGGCTATGTTTTTATGACCTCATAAACCTAATTACTCCCTAAGGGTCCCACATCCTCACACTGCTATCCTGAGGAGTGGAGTTTCAATGTAGGTGTTGAGGCAAAGGGGAATACATTTTATCCCATAACAATGTAAAAGGTAACAGTATTAGCTATTACAGGAGAAGGTATAAGTGGGATATGTCATTTTGTTGACATCATAAAATATCATGACAAACTGGGTACTAGTGGTACATACCTTATTCCCAGTACTATAGGTGGATATCTAAGTTTGAAGACAGCATGGTCTACACGAGTTCCAGAGTGGACAGGGCCACAGGTATAAATCCTGTCTTGTTCTGTGTGGTATTTTGATCTCATTCTGACAATAAAGTTTGTTTTCAGTCAGAGGGCAGAGCTAGCCACTAGCTGACCAAAACGTACAAAGGAGGTCTTGGAGGACTAAGGACGATAAGAGACAGGAAGTAGGGATGCAGGGCTGGAGGATCTCAGCTCTTTGGATTAAGGAACAGATGAGAGAGGAGGTCACTAGTGGCTTCTCCTTCACTTCTCTGATCACCCAGGTTCTTATCCTTATATCTGAATTCTGATTCTTTATTGATGAAGAATAAGGAATCCTCAATTGGCACCCAACTTGGGGAATGAAACCACAAGATAGCTGTTCAGCCCTAGCACCAGAGCCTCCATGCCACTGGCTGAGTTTTCCTATCCTGCTTGAAACCTTCTGAATCTGGGATTTTCTTGTTGCAACCACTCTATAATAGCTTACAGCTGCCAACCAAACTCAACAGGCCCAAAACTCCAAACGTGCCTAGACTCCAAATGCAGGAGTTAGCTGCCCGTGCCAGCCAGCTCTGCTTCAGGCAGCTTTCCCATCACTTGCATGTTCCCCTGTGTCTTCTTTTTCAGATGGCTGGCTCCTTGACTCCTTCTTCCCATTGGTTTCAGGCTCCTTGTGGATCCCCAACACGGGATTCTCCCACACTAGGTTAGCTGTCTTTATGACCACTTGTGTTTCTGTCGTTGTCCCAACTGTCGCACATTCTCAGCTCACAACTGCCACATAATCCTACAGGGTAAGCAGTTATAGAAAGATCTAATTGAACATTTTAGCATGAATAATAAAAACCAAGAGAGAAAAATATTGGGGTTCAAACAGAAGAGCAGAGAAGCAGAGCTGCCAGCCAGTAGAGAGCTTTTACCTATATGAAATCTTTAGACTGAAAAGAGAAACACAGCCTCCACAAATTAAATCCTCTGAGCTCCTGTCTTCTCCAGCCTTACATTCCTCTCCCCTGAAGCCATATCACTCCCATCTCCACCTCCCTAGTGCTGGGATTAAAGGTGTGATCTCTATTTTTCTTTTTTGACTAATTCATTCTCTTGTAGTCCAGGGTGACCTTGAACTCAGAGATTCATCTGCCTCTGTCTCCTGAGTCCTGAGATTAAAGGTGTTGCCACCACTTCCTGGTTTCTGTGGCTGTAACTAGTTTTGAATTCTGATCTCCAGGCAATCTTTATTAGACCATGAACAATATGCCACCACAGAACTCTAAAAGATATGCTTAATAAATACAAAGGGGTAATTAAGACTGCACATTGCTGTATTAACTTCAAATTTTTAAATGTGAATGAGAGAAGAATGACAGCTGCAGAGAGATGCTGGATAATAGAAAAAGCTGCTAAATTAAATCAGCCTATATAATTTACAGATGTGGTGACCACCGAATGGAAAGCAGGATATTGATGGGAGATATCCTTCTGTATGCTATGAATATGTTTCTCTTATTGGCTGGTGAATAAAGCTGTTTCAGCCAATGGACGGGCCAGGCAGGAAGCATAGGCAGGTCTACCAGACTAGGAGAAGGCTGGGAGGAGAAATGCAGAAAGTCGCCAGAGAGAGATGCCATGTAACTGCTGAAGGAGTAACGTGCCAGAACATTTTGGGTAAGCCACAGCCTCATCACGATATATAGTTTAAAAGAAATGGGTTAATAATTAAGAAAGAGCTAGCCAATAAGAATCCTGAGCCATTGGCCAAACAGTCCATAATTAATATAAGCTTCTGTGTGTTTATTTGAGACTAAGGGGCTGTGGGACCAGGTAGAACAGAAACTTCATCTTAAGGATATGTGTTAAGTGTCGGAAGAGGTTTTACTTTTGTTTCCAAAGGAGAAGAATAGCTATGGATACCAAATATATGAAGACTAGATTCGAACCGGAGAACCCTCTTGATTAGAAGAGGTGATAGTTCATCAAACAGTATAACCATTCAACCTAAACTAACTTATAGTATAACAAATGCTTTTAATTTGATCAGATATAACTTTCCAAAAAGGAAACTCCCCAAGTTAGGCCTTGCAGATGGTTTTGGTTTTGCCTTTCCAGGAGAATGAAGGCATCCAGTTAATGAATCTAAAGACCACTGGACAAAGGAGACTACTGAAGAGAAAGGAATGAATGACCTAGAAAATGTCCCAAGAGAAAAAGTAAATAGGCCTATTGGTATATCACATTTCCAACAGGATAAAAATTTCCTAAATCTTCCTAAATTTTTTTGCTGTTCTCTATAGTCATATAAGGCAAATGGTCATTTTGTAATCCCAGTTCAATTAAAAATTAAAGCTGGCTTTGGAGATGGAGTGTGGCTCTCTCCTTCTCTAAACCCAAGCATTTTAAAGGAAAATCCAAAATCTCTGTCTCATGTCAGAGCAGCCACCTGATATGAGATAGAAGAAAACAAAATAAGTGACTATTCTATTGGCACTAATCTCAAAATTCTTTGGTTTTAATTTGACTTTTTAAAACTTTACCTAAGTTTTAAATATTATAATATATATAATAAATTTAATATATACATATTAAATTTAATATATATATTAAACTTTCTGTCTTGATATTGATGGTCATGTGCAGTACGAACTAATTCCAGAAAAAGGCTTCATCTAGCTTCCTGTAGATGATTTCTGGTTGGAGTCTTTATCAGGTATCTAGGAATTAAGTTTTTGTACTCTAGATGTGCTTAACACATTATGGTCCTTTACTCTCTTTGAGATCTGGGGCATGACATTTAAAATGTTTACGTTTTCCACAATGAACTATGGCCATACCTAAGAGCAACCTTTGAAATATCTAAAAGGAGGATGTGGCCCCATAATGAGGCATCCACCTGAATTGTTGTAATGCCACTATGATGGCAAACAGAACCCAAAGATCAGCTTTGGACTACACATTGCTCTGGACAATTTCAAGATGTCTAGCTAAGATGGGCCAGCCTCACAGATTACTCAGGTCATGAGTTGAGGTAAGCTCTGTGCTTTCCCATTACACAGAGACAGGATGATAAGACAGCTAACTCTTTCAGGACTTGACAATTAACCCAGTTTTCTTGTAGTCCCCTAAAGATGCTGGTACTCCCAGGCAATGGGAATTAATTTTCAGAATATGATGCTCACATTCCCACGAGATGGGATGGGCAGTTTTTGGTTGTTCAGGGATTATGAATATTTGTCATCATTTAGGAGGGTTGGTTACAAGTTGTTATTGGTTATGTTCAGGGGGAAAAAAAGCCAAATAAAGGAGATTAGATTCAGCCTGGACAGGTCAGCAATCCTAGCAGTAGAGGGGATTGCTGGGAAAGGGGAAAGGGGGCTACTGAAGAACTGTGACTCCAGGGGCAGTGGTGGCTGGAGGCAAGACCAAGGTTGAGTGTCAGCCCTTCTAGCTATAGAGGTAGGAGACAGAGAGCCCTGTCCCTCACTTCCTAGGTCTACAAGTAGGGGCCGTGGTTGACCATAGAGGAGGCCATGGGATGTCCTCCTGGGAAGAAGCCTGCAGGTGGAATAGGAGACACAGTAGCAAGTGATTTGTTTTTCAACCAAGGGACTGGGACTACTGTGGTCAAGAGCAGCCATGACCAACCTGTTCAGATCTAGGACCAAACTGGCTTGGGGAGAAAGGTTTCCTGACCAAGCCTGACCTCTTGGGCCTAGGGAAATTCATGGGGCACTACTGTGTCTTGGGAATTGCCCAGAAACCCACTTGAGGGCAGCAGGACCCTTGACATTTTACAGATGAGGAAACAGGCTTGGGGCAGTGCTGCCATTGAACTGCATCTCTACCCAGTCCTGTTTCCTGCCTTGGCCCTTCCACCTCTCATTCCATCCTTTCCCCAGCCAGCCCGGGGGCCTGGCTCCTCTTGTCTCCTGTCTGGAGACTTAGGCCCTGTCTCTTTTCACCTGCTTCCCTTTGGGCTCCCGTTGGCAGCTGAGGCAGCGCCTGGAGCTGAAAGAAAAGGGCAGGCACGTGGTGCTGGAGGCCACAGAGAATGAGGTGGAGGGCAAAGGCGGCATGCTTCTGAGCTCAGGACAGGCCTGTTGTGAGGAGAAGGGCCTGGATGCTGAGGACGGTGGTGGGGACAGCAATGACCTCAGCAGCGTCAGCGAGACCACAGACAGCACAGATGTCAAAGACAGCTCAGAGACCTCTCTGACTCTGCCTCCTAGAGCCTCACCCTGCCCTGCAGGCTTTTGGATTCTTGAAACTGGAGCTAGCCAAGTGGGTGGGGTGCATACCTTTAGTCTCAGCACTGGGAGGTAGAATTCTATGAATTCAAAGCCATCCTGGTCTACATAATAAGTTCCAGTCTGACCAGAGTTACTGAATGAGACCCTGTCTCAAAAAGCCAAAAGGAAGGGGGCTGAGGAGAAAGCTCAGTGGTTAAGAGCACTTGTTCCTCTTTCAGAAGATCTGAGTTCAATTCCCAGCACCCACAAGGAAGTACAGAATCATATGCAGTTCTAGTATCTAGGATCTGATTCTTATGGTCTACACACACACACACACACACACACTATACATTCATGCACACATAAAGCAAAATGCATACAGTTAAATGAATATAAATCTAATTCGATTTATTTTAAGCCAAAAAGGAACAGGCCCCATGTGCTGGCACATGCACATTCAAGAGGCAGAGGCAGGCCAATTCATGGGAAGCCTCCTCACTCAGGGCTATGACTCCCGAAGGATGTCCAGCCAGGCTGAGGGGAGGGAGGCAGGCCGCTTAGGTGCAGTCTTGGGTCTGGAGCAGCTATGGTGCCATTGTCTTCTAGTTGTGAGGGCCAGTGGCCACAGGGGTGTGGTCTGACATTGGGGACCACGGATAGCTTTTTGCAGATGGTGAGGGACAGCAGCAGGTGGTCCCAGGTTTGCTGGGGCTCTCTAGCATTGGCGTTTTGATGCTGAGGTTTTGGTTTTCTAGGTAGTAGGAGCTGAGGAAGGAGGGAGACAGCCTTCCTCAAGAGCCATGCGGCCTGGGAAAGGGGCGCCTTGTCCTTATGAGAGGAGCTGGGTCCA